TCTTCTTAATTTCTTCCATAAAGTCTGAAATCTGAGCTCATTCTTTCTATCAGATTTTGAAATTGACATGAATGGGAAGCGGTATTCATGGCAGGTAGGTTTATCTTTTACTCTCATTTGGTTTAGTTTCATATGCCAAGTGGTTTATAGAAAGTCTTTGGTTTACCGAAGTGGAAATTTGATCTATTTGCTATTGCTTTCTGAAGGGTATTGCAAAATTGCCTTTCATTGATGAAGAGCGTCTTCTTGCAGAGGTTGCAAAAGTGGAACATACTTTGACGGTATGGCACTATAATCAAGTCATGATTCCATGCGCCCCTTCTACTCTTTCTCCTTTTGTTAAGAATCTATATGTTCTTTCTGAATTTTGTTTTAGCTTTCTTTTAATCTTTTAAATGCCACAATCTTTCACAGGAGGAAGAAGCACGGAGAAACAGTATAATGTGTGACATGCTTTTTGTGGCAGCATCACACCGTCTCTCAGAACAAATATTTTCTCTTGACAATCGTTGCAGACATTTAACAGAAAAGGAACGAATTGAAGTCAAGGAGGAAGTCAAACCTGACTTGAGGTTTGTTTTAAGTGCTAATTTGGACTGTGGTTGAAATCAAGTTAGTCTGATGAATTCTATTATTCTAATTTATTCTTCTTCGAGTACACTGCCAAGCTACTAGGATTTAATGGGGGATTTGTGACTTATTGATGTTGGGAAAATTTTACAGTTTATTCAATACTACCAATTGGCACAATGAAATATCTGTTTTGATGGTTTCCTGTCAGTATGGATCATCCGTATAGATCATAAATTCGGTTTCTACTCTAATTGTTGTTCTTATTAGGTTGTGTTTGGTAATCAGAAGGGATTTTTTTTTTTCAAAAGAATTATTTGGATATTAGATGTAATAATTCTCAATGTTTAGGTCCAAACAACTTTTAAGTTCTTTGGAAAATGTCTTATACCCCACATTTTACATGGTCAATAGGGGTTGTTCTTGTTGACCCGTAAAATGTTATACATCTGAAGTAAATTTTCAGTCTTTGAAACAAGCATAAGTTCCGAAAACTTTTTCCGGAAAATATTTTATGTCAATGCTTTCTCATTGTGTGTAATATGTAAAGCTATACTAAGCTCTGAATTGTCTTCTGGTTTATGCTTTCAGTTATGTTTGATCACATTCCTTTAGTCACATACTTCAAATTGCAAGTTTGCAAAGGGGAAAGTTGATGTTATGTATTTCATTTTTTAGTCATGATAGAAGCTACATGCTCATTCACTATGTTGGTGTTGTTGGGCTAGTTTTGCTTTTATATTCTAGTATTATTCCTTTTAATCTTAATTCTGGTGATTACGCTGCTTTGCTGACTATACTATATGGTCTAGCGATATACTTTAGAATTGAAGCTGTCTTGACTACTTTGCCTGCTAACCGTGAATTTAAGATATTTTTCTACA